ATCGTCGGACTTTCTGCGAGTGGGGCGAAGATGCACTAATGAACTCTGCCCTGATAAGACCCAGATTTGTGCGGTGTCTGCTTTCGGTGGTTCGCACATGGCTGGTTCTCGGGCGGTCTAATTGGGTTTATGAACGGCCCTGTGGTGATGCTTCGCAAAGAGGTGAAGTTGGAGATGACGAAGGAGAGGACGAAGATCGGGCTCATTGCATGTCGATAGTATATATTGTGTTTATATACAGTATATTTTCAGTATATGTTCCCGTCAGCGCAATTTCACAATTTGCTTGTGACAGATAGGACTTGTTTCATTGTTTATATGAAACTATTTCTTTGTTTATATACAATATATTTTAAGTATATGTTCTCGTCGATACAATTTCAGTGACGCTATGACAATTTGTTTGTGAGCAGATAGGATTTGTTTCATGTTTATATGTCGATATTATATGTTGTGTTTATATACAGTATATTTTCAGTATATGTTCCCGTCGACACAATCTCAGTGACACTTATTTTTTTATCGTATGTCTTACAGAAGTATTTCTTGATCATGACAGAAATAACGTTGTTCTCAATTTTTGTTTGGTATATTTGTTTTAGTATATTTGTTTGGAAAATAATGATGTTTAAAGTTCAAAACATTAGTTGACAATATATTATAGCACATGTTATGTTTTTCTCTCTCTTAAGAACATTATGCCTTTCTTTCTCCTAATAATGGATGATTGCGTGAATAAGGGCATCAGTTACTTAATAAGAGGTAATTAATACATGAGGCATATCTGCGAATATTTATGTAAGAATTAGTGTATATATATGTATTATAAAGATGATTATAAAGATGATTAATGACAAATATGCAATATTTTAGCCAACATGTAGGATCTATACTATTATAAAAGTGTCAATGAATCTGTAAAAATATTAATTGCCTAAAATAACCTTATTATGCCATATTTATAATGGCAATTTCGTAATTTCAATACATGTATTTGATAGATTAACTAACATTAATTTAAATACCTAACCAAGGTTCGAGCGGCATAGCTATCCGCACAAAATCTATGGAAAATCAAACCAAAACATGCGCCCTTCAAATTGTGGAGAGTTGCGGTGAATGGATTTCAGAATTGCCCCATTATTATTATTATTATTATTATTATTATTATTATTATTATTATTATTATTATTATTATTATTATTATTATTATTATTATTATTATTATTATTATTATTATTTTTATGATTGCATTTTAATGGTTTGGATTTTTTTGTGCAATGTCATTTCAAATTTGTGTATATTAAATATTTTATTTATTGACATTATTTTAAGATCGATAAATACTTTTATGATTTTCTTAATAATTTTAAGAGTTTTAACCGTAAGTATATAAGA